GCGGTTCAGAGCCCTGCTGTCCCTCCGGTGACAGCGGTGGCACTCAGGCACTCACTAGGTGGCCCACAGATGGCACCGGGGCATCGTCAGGGTAATTAATGCAATCACTCTGCCCGAGGAAGGCTCTGTCATCAGTGGTGGTGGTGAAGGCACCAGGTTTGTAGCACATGAGGTCTGGACAAACATGTGCAGCGTGACGGTCCCGGCTCTGCCCCTGCCAGGTCCACAGCACCAGGGACTCTGGTCTCCGCCAAAAGCTGACGAAGGGACCCTTATCTCAACCACAGTCAGCACCACGTTAACTCAAGGTGGGCTCCCACCCACGCTGCTCCTGATGCTTTTCCTCTTCTTCCACCAGGAACATGGATAAAGGCTGAGGAGCCTCAACCGATGCTGTGAGCCGGCTGGGGGGAAGCCCTGGTCCATGGGACGGCCGTGCTGCTGCCAACGCAGCTCTCCTCACCCAGGCATCGCCCATGTCACGGGAGGCCTCTGATGGAAGGTGAGTGGTGGCTGGGCAGCTGGAGATCCATCATCCTGGTGGAATTTCAGATTCAAAAGTGGGACAATGTGGGGCACCAAGGTGTGAGCATTGACAGTAGTTCCTAGTCCAAGGAACTGGGGACCACTGTGCTGACATAAGGAGAATGGCTGTCTCTGAAGATAAATGATCTTGCTCAGACTTTTATCTCTGCATGGGCTTGCTTTCCAGGAGGAAATGTCATTTCATGATTGCGTTCTTTGGTTTCTTTGACTCCAATTTTGATAGCTGCTGCCTTAACCAAGCAGCTCCTAACAAAACAGCCTGCCACAGCTTTGGGATGGCATCATCTCAGGGAGGACTTTGGCAGGTCACTCTGGAGGGCTCTAGTTTACCCCCTACTACCTTCAGAGTCAAATGGGGTGCTGCACTGCTGCCTTTCCCCATCACCCCTGAGCAGCCTGCCCAGGGCTTTTTCAAGACACAACTCTCCTGCTCTCCTCTCCCACAGAGGCTTGGATCAATCGCTACCGCAAGCAGCTGGTGAGGTCCATCTCACCGCAGTTCCTGGAGGAGATCATCTGCTACCTGCGGAAGCTGGACCTCCTCACGGCAGAGGAGGCTGGCCGGGCGCAGGAGGCGAGCTCCCTGCCCGAGCAGGTGAGGGCAGTGGTGGACGTCCTGGCTGGCAAGGGCAGCTACGCCTCGCAATCCCTGCAGACATTCATTGAGACCACCAATTCCCACCTCTACCTTCACATCACTGTCTATGGTAGGCAGTCCTCTTCGGACCCAATAAGGGGTGTCTGCACACATGTCCTGGCTGTGGGCAGTTGCTGGATCACCCCAAGATGTGCACAGAGCTGGGCATCGTTGGCAGCTCCGATGGGAGTGTCCATGCAAGTGATGGTGCCATCTCAGGGTCTCTGCTGGGGAAAGACACAGTTAGGGGGTGACAAGGGCTCTCTGCCATGTCTGAGGGACCTTCCTCCTGACCCTTCGTTGCCCTCAGCACACCTCACTAGGAGTCTTTAATGTCCTCAGTGTCCAGATCACACCAATCACTCCCAGCAGCTGGTCTGGGAACACGGGGATGGGCAGGAGGACGGCTGGGCATCCCTGACCCTATCTGTTGGTGGCTGCCCCAACTTCAGGCTCTCCTTGCAACCCTCTTGGTAGGAGAGGTTTCCTTGGTTTCCCTGCTGGTTGGAAGGTTCCAGCCTTGGCTGGAGTCTGCTCTGAATCTCTCGCAGCACCATCCCCTGCTTGTCCAGCCTTTGCTGGAGGGTTTAAATACACTGTACCAGGGGCCGTGGTACCTGACCCAGGTGAGCAGGTCACGTCCAGAGATGGTCACCAGGTTCAACCAAGAGTCCAACTCATCAAACAAGTCCATGGTGATGAGGGAGGGCTGGAGGTCAAACTGGGAAGTCAATCCATACATCAGGATCAGGTCCAGTGAGGGCAGCCAGGGTCAGACATGGTCCAGTGGTCACCAGGCAAGTGCAGAGTGATGAGGTGCAAGATGAAGGTCCAGATCAACAAGGTCTATAGCAGGTGCAGGCGCAATGGTGCTGTGGACAAGTGCTCCAACAGCATATCTTAGGCAGGGGCTGAAGGCCCAGAGCTGAGCTTAAATGGGCTCCTGGACTGATGGGTGAGGCTAGTCAGGGCCATTGAAGCCTATTAGTGCCCTCAAGACCCTGGCACATAACTTCCTGCCCAGGCGTAAGGGCTCCCTGAAATTTCCCCCTCTGCATGGGCATGGCAGAAAAGTGAAGCAGAATCTCTCATTTGCCTTTGGGGTTATCATCCTCTTCCTCACCCCTGTTTCATTTCCCTCTGTGCAGAACCCATGGTGCAAAAGCACCTGGAAAGCCTCCAAAGCTACTATGGGAATGGCTTGGAGACAGGTCCCCTCCAGCGACTCACAAACCTGCTTCTGGTGGAGGGCTTGACCGATATCCAGCAGAAGGAGCATGACATCCTGCAGATTGAAGCCACCAAAGGCCTACGAAATGTAACCAAAAGCATCCCTCTGGAGAAGCTCTTCCTGCCTCTCTCCAAAGTCAGCATCCCACCTCGGATCTCTGTCACCATTGGAGTGGCCGGAATTGGCAAAAGCACACTGGTGAAGCTGTTTGTCTACACCTGGGCAAAGGGGGAAATCAACAGGGACATCATCTTTGTGCTGCCCCTCACCTTCCGGGAGCTCAACACTTACGAGAAGCTGTCTGCTGAGAGGCCGAACTGCATCTCAGCAGGAGCTGCCAGGACCCTGCTGATCCTTGATGGCTTGGATGAGTTCAAGACCCCTTTGGATTTTTCCAACACGGTAGTATGCACAGATCCCAAAAAGGAGATACAAGTGGACAACTTGATCACCAACATTATACGTGGCAACCTACTGCAGGAGGCTTCTGTCTGGGTCACGTCACGGCCAACGGCAGCCAGCCAAATCCCTGGCGGGCTTGTTGACCGGATGACGGAAATACGAGGGTTTGGAGCTGCGGAGATGAAGGACTGCTTGGACCAGATGTTCCTTGACAACAAAGACCTATCCAGTCAAGTCCTGCATCACATCAGGGCTAACAGGTCATTACACATCATGTGCACCGTTCCTGGCTTTTGCTGGATTTCTGGCTCCTCAATTGGTTATTACCTAAAAAACAGCACTGATCAATCCCAAGAAACCGTTGTCCCTAAGACCCTATCAGAAGTCTACTCCTATTATTTTAAAATGGCTCTGAGCAGCGACTGGCTGGAAAAGCCAAAAGAAACACTCAGGATCGAGCAAGCGGTGAACAACAGCAAGAAGATAGTGGGCAGCCTGGGCAGACTGGCCTTCTATGGGCTGCTCAAAAAGAAATACGTGTTTTACGAGCAGGACATGAAGGCGTACGGCATCGACCTTTCCTTGCTGCAGAGCAGCTTGTGCAGTAGACTCCTGCTCAAAGAAGAGCTGCAGTCCTTCACAGTCTACTACTTCTCCCACTTAACCATACAGGAGTTTCTAGCAGCTATTTATTATTACACGGCCGCAAAGCGGGCAATATTTGACCTCTTCACGGAGAGCGGGATGTCCTGGCCCAAGTTGGGTTTCCTCAACCACTTCAAGAGTGCTGTTCAGAGGTCGCTGCAGGCAGAGGATGGACAGCTGGACATCTTTGTGCGCTTTCTCTCTGGGCTCCTCTCCCCGCAGGTGAACAAGCTGCTCTCTGGGTGGCTGCTGGTGAAGGATGAGCACAACAGCTTCAGGAGCCAAGCAATCAGCTTCCTCCAGGGCTGCCTGAACACCGACTATGTCATCTCCTCGCGGACAGTGAACACCATGCACTGCCTGTATGAAATTCAGCACACAGAGATCGCTAAGACTGTGGAAGAAGCAATGAAGAATGAAAGCTTGGCCGGGATGCTCACTCCCGTGAACTGCTCTGCCCTGGCTTATCTCCTGCAGGTCTCTGATGTCTGCATGGAGGAGACAAACCTCTCCAACTGCCTCACCTACAACGTCTGTAAGAGCCTGCTCTCCCAGCTCCTCTTCTGCCACAACCTCAGGTGAGTCCCGCTGGGACTGCACTGGGAGAAGCAAGCAGGGACGCTGGGACTCAAAATCCTGGGTGTCGATGGGAGACATGGGCCCACCCACGTTGCCCATCAGCAGAGCATTGCCCTGGGGATGGCACTGGGTCACCATGCTTCTGTGCTAGGAGGGGTTTATTTTTTGCCCTTGTGAAGGGCAGATGTCATGGGGGGGTTGTGTTCCTGTGCAGTCCTTGGTTGTCTTTTCTCCACTCTTTGTTCTCCAGAATGCTTGCTTTTGCTCTTTCCTTGCATCTTCTCCAGGCTGGACAATAACCAGTTTAAGGACAATGTGATGGAGCTGCTGGGCAGCGTGCTGAGCGTAAAGGACTGCCAGATCCAGAAGCTCAGGTAGGACCTGGCCCAGGGCAGACAGGCTGTTCCTGGGGATGCAGAGCAGATCTGGGGGCACCTCAGGAACCAGGGTGAGGGTCCTCCAGGAACGTCTCTCCCACTGGCTCCCCGAGATGCCTAGTGACAAGGAGAGCCCCACACGATCTCCTGTACACAGCTATGGTGACCTTACCCTCCGTGTCCTTGCAGTGACTGGGCAGGCTGTCTCGCCCAGCCTTCCTGGGACTGCTGCCTCCTCACTGTTCCTAAAAATTTGTGTAAAAATCCATGGGTTATCCCAACAAGCTACTTCCCAAGGTCACAGCTCTTTGCTGGACACTCGAGGCTCTGCACGGAACATCTGATGTATGGAGGGGACGGGCTCCTGATCCCCACACAGGGATATGCCTGACCTCAGACAGATGGGTCCCCACTTTCCCCACCTCCCTGCCCTTCTTTGTGGCTGTGTGCAGAGTCCCCCATGCTGCGATCTGAGCTTCCTTTTCACAACACAAATGAATTTTAAGTCTAGAAACTCCCCTTCCACCCTGTCCTTGCAATCCCCTGCCTGATGTCCATCCCAGGAAAGGAGACCTCGGAGCATCCACCACTTCGCATGATTGTACTACTAACCAAATGCTCCCCGTGGCTTTTCTCTGCTCATCCATCCCAGCTGCGTCCTGGGACATACCAGGGTTGCAAAAGCCTCTTTCTCCCCCTGAAAAATACCCATTTTTTCTTTTTCTGGTCAGCTTGGCAGAAAATCAAATCAGCAACAAGGGAGCCAAAGCGCTGGCCAGGTCGCTGCTGGTGAACAGGAGCCTGATGGTGCTGGAGTAAGTGTTTCCCCTTTACCAGCTCCTGCCATGCACATGATCCCTGCTGGGAACCATTCCCCTGGCCGCAGCTGGGCTGGATCCCACGCAGCCTGGGTGAGCTGGGGAGGGTCTCCAGCCCCCAAAGCCACCACTACTACCACTGCTCAAGAGGTGAACCTGACTCTTGTGAACTGCATGCCTGATGTCCCACCTCAGCAGTGCCTGAGATTGTGCCACGTGGAGACATTTGGCTTAAACTGGGCA